ACATGTCTGCTATCGCCTGCATGGCGTGGCCCGAGCGCGTCTAGGCAGTGCGGGGGCAACATGGTGGGGCCCGCAGCAGGGCGGGCTGCGAAGCCCCTCGCCGCTGCTCTCAGCTGCTCAGCCTCAATGCGCGGCAGGGCTGGCCACGCCTCCGCGCCCGCTGGCAAGAGCATGGCGCCTCCAGACCTTCGTCCAGCTCGCCAGCGTCTGGTCGGCTAGCTGGCGCGGCTGCGAATTCAGGCCGCACCTCAGGACCTCGACCTGGGCTCGAACCTTGGACGTCGCGCGTGCCCTGCTGGCCCCCTCCAAGAAAGACTCGCGGGCGAACTCGCGCCGCCGCTTGTCGGCCTCGTTGCGGGCCTTCGCAGCGTGCTTGTCCGCGTGCCCCGCAATCGCCGCCGCCGCGCTCTCGAATATCGGGCTGGCGAGCTCCGCCGTGTTGCCTGCCAAGAGGAACGTGCTTCAATCGTGTCAGATCGCCGCCAATGCGTCGCTCTCCGCGGCGATCTCCTGATCGTGGCGACCGCCCTCGTCGAAGACCTGGATCACCTTCGTGTGCCGCAGTCCCGTCAGGGCGCGCGCGGCGTGGCACCTCTGGGGCCTACCGCAGAACATCCCCCCCCCTCTTTTCTCTGGCGTGCAGCGCAGGGCCCATCTTCGAGCCGTCGCCCAGTGAGCGACCTGCGCGTCTCGATGCCTCCGACGCCTCGGCGGTCCCCGGGCCATCTGCTGCCGCTTGAACATGGGCGCCCCTGGCCTGCCGACGTGCCGCTTCGCCTCCGCGCCAACCTTGTCGCGGCGCTCCGCAAGCTCGAAGTCCCTGCCGTCTAGCACTGCGCCCCAAACTTTCCCCGAGTCCTTCGGCGATGCGACCTCGTCGAACAGTGGGCGGGCCCTGCGCCGAGGGCATGGGGGCCTGGCGCGTCCAACGGGCGGGGCGGCTGCAAACGTCCTCGGTAGGTCTAACACTCGGCGCCGCATCGGGATGTCGTGGCCCAGCAGACGAAGCCGACCAGGAACACGTGGCGGCGGGGTCGACGCCTTAGCGATGAGCGCCTCCGCCTGGCGCGCCAGCCTCGAGGCGAGGTTGCTGGCCGCGATGAAACATTTGATCTTCGATGGGGCCCGCGTCCGCGATGCAGGCGACCTCCTTCGGGCTCGTGATCGCGATGTTCCCGCGCGCCAGAACTGCCTCTCCACTCGCGTTGGCAGTCGCGGAGGCGCCCGTCTCAATCGCAGGGGCCCGAAGCCCATGCCGCCCAGCGACTCCAGGGCGATTCTGGATCTCATTGAGCCTGCGCTCCACGTTGCGGGTGTCCTGGGCCATCGACGCCGCGCCCTTGCGCGCGCCGGGGCAATCGAACAATGGCCCATGATATCCCGCGCCGACAGTCGCGATGCCCCCCGCCCCGGCTGACCTCGCACCGCGGCTGGGTGGCGCGCCCGACCTCGTCGTGGCAGCGCGAGCTCTGCCCGCGCGCGGCGACCGCCCTCCAGCCGATCCACTAGCGCGAGTGAGCTCGGCGCTGGCGACGCCTGGTCGACCTGGCCCCACTCGCATGCGCGCGCCCTCCTGGGGAATGCGCGCCCCAGGTCGCGGGCGCTGACGACGCAATGGCCGGCGCTGTAATGGCGCTCTGAAGTACTCGCGCCTGCTCCTCCTCGCGCGTTGGGACTTTGAACAGCAACTGGTGGCGCTCTGTCCCGCTGCGTGCCGATTTCGGGCTCAGGGCCCTGGTCGGGGCCCACGGACTGCCTCCCCAACTCCGTCGGCCTCCCAGTGCTGCGCGTGCCACGGTGCACGCTGCGCTGAAGGGCGCCGGGGCTCTGACGGGCAATTGGTGGCGCGTTGGCGCCGATGTGCCGACTTCGAACCCAGGGCCCTTTATCGGAGCTCGTTGACTGCCTCTCCAGTTCTATCGGCCTCCCAGTGCTGCGCTTGCCATGAGGTTCACTGCCCCCTGCGGTGGGGGCCGCCGACGCCGTCGGAATTTCCATTAACTTAGCGAGAACGAGCTAGACAACGACCCGAGCCCCGGCAGACGCCGCACTGTGAGCGAAGCTTCCTGTCGGCCAACTTCGACTAAGTCTCCTGCGCGCGCTGAAGTCCTCGGGGGCCGTCGAGTCGATGTGCGTCGCGTCCTCCTCGGCTTCCCGTTCCTTGGCCGCCTCGCCCGCCGCGGGCTCGGGCTCGCTGCCGGGGGCGGGCTGGGGCTCAGCGTGCTCGCGCGGCTAGTGCGGCGTGCTCGCCGTGACTTTGAGCTCGGCCAGCAGCTCGCCGCTGAGGCCCGGCTCCCCTGCCGCTTGGCCCAGCTGCTCCGCTGGCGCCGACGGGCCTGGCAGAACTTGGGCCAGACTGGGAAGCCCACTCTGGGTAGGTGGCTGGGCCTTGGGCGTGGCCGCCCGGGCGTCCGTCTCGAGCCGCAGCGCCTCGGCCTTGGCCTCGCCCAGCTGCGCGTCCATCTCCACGAGGGACTGGCGGAAAGCGTCGATCATGTCCGCTTGTTCGTCGCGGGCCACTTGCAGCTGAAGCTCGCGATATCAGGTGCTCTGCAACTTCCCCGCAAGGCTGCGGGCTTGGTGTTCGATCGGGAGGTCGGCGAACAACGACTGCTCCAGCTGTGGGCACTCCTCGCGGTACTTGGCCAGCTGTTCGGCGTCTCCGCTGAAACCGCCACTCGCCAGTTGCTTGATGAACCCATCGGGGAGCTTGATCCGTCCCCGCTTCGGGCAGCTCTTGTCGTCGACGGATGCCCAATGAAGCACAGCACCGCAATTTCCAGCACCTCTGGGCGCGCGAGGAGGCTGGGTCCGCAGCTGCTTGAGCTACTTCTCGAGCTCCGCGCACCGATCGTCGAGCACCTTGGACTTGTTCGTGGTGCTGGGAGCGGACGTTTTTTCTTTGAGTCGCACGGACTTATGCATCCGACACTGATTGTAATGGAGGGGTCCAGCTTTATTGAACCAAGGCAACTTCGTCTTCCCGTGGACGCAGCAACGACAGGTCCCAGTTCCGCCCTCATTCTGCCGCCGCGGCGCAGAAGCAACCATCAATGTGCTGTACATGTTCGCAAAAGACAGGGGGATGAAATCTTTAGGATACGGATATCAGAAAAGACCTGAAGGTTCGCTGGTGGGGCCGCAATTTACCAATGCCAGAAACATCTCCTGCCTTGAACCTGCCGCCTCCAGACTTGAGCCACAATGGCTGCGGAAGGGATCCCCAAAACTGCCCCACAAGAGGCCAAAGCAGCCCCAAGACGGCCCAACCGACTTCTCATGATGATCACCATCAGCATCATCATCACCAGTATCACCACCACCACCATCATCATCAACACCAGCAGCAACACTAACATCACAATCGCCGTCTCCATCACCGTCACCGTCATCATCGTCTTCACCACCATCATCACCATCACCATCACCATCATCACCATCATCATCAACATCTCCATCGTCATCGCCAACATTCCCGTTCTCATTCGTAATACCATGTCCATCGCCACCATCACCAACCGCCACAATCATGATCATCATCATCAGCATCAGCATCATCGTCGTCGCCACCATGATCATCGTCATAACCATCACCATCATCCTCAACATCATCACAATGACCACCGCCCTCACCATCAGTACATCATCGCCAACACCAGCATCAACATCATCAGAATTTGCATCATCATGATCATCAGCAGCCTCATCATCATCATCATCATCACCATCAGCATTACCGATCGTCATCGTCATCGCCATCGCCATAGTCATCATCATCGTCATTGTCTTCGTCATCATCACCAACATCATCATTATTGTCTCACCGTTCTCATCATCCTCATAATCTTCATCGTCCTCGTCACGGCTCTCCAGAGCCTGGAGACACGAGGTGTCACACGTGACGGCCTCCCGTGCCCCTTCGAACAGTCGCCTCCCAGATTGCTGGGATAGCACTGTGGCGGAACTTGCCGCAAGCAGCTGGATAACTAGAACCCCATACCTTGGATATTGGGAGGAACGTGACGTTGGGAGGGGTCTGGGGGCAAATGGGGGATTTGAGGAAGCAGGAGGAATTACAACAAGTGGAAGAAGAACTGGAGGAGTACTTCAGCACCGGCATCTTGGCACTGGTGACCTCCCAGAAGGACTGCTTTTTGGGCGGGTAGGGCCCGACTGAAACCATGTCCCAGGCCTCCTGACAGAACAGGTCTCCACTGCCATACTGCTGGACGGTTACCATCACCGTCATCATCGTCATCGTCATCACCACCATCATTACCACCATCACCATCACCATCAGCATCAACATCATCATCACCATCACCATCATCATCATCATCATCATCGTCATCATCATCACCACCGTCATCGCCAACTTTCCCGTTCTCATTCGCAATACCATGATCATCACCACCATCACCAACCGCCACAATCATGATCATCATCAGCAGCATCAGCATCATCCTCATCGCCACCATGATCATCATCATCACCATCACCATCATCCTCAACATCATCGCAATGACCACCGCCATCGCCATCAGTATCATTATCGCCATGACCAGCATCAACATCATCAGCATCGGCATCGGCATCATCATGAGCATCAGCAGCCTCATCATCATCAACATCGATCGTCATCAACATCGCTATCGCCATCGTCATCATCATCGTCATTGTCTTCGTCATCATCACCATCATCATCATTATGGTCTCACCGTCCGCATCATCCTCGTAATTTTCATCGTCCTCGTCACGGCTCTCCAGAGCCTGGAGACACGAGGTGTCACACGTGACGGCCTCCCGTGCACCTTCGAACAGTCGCCGCCCAAAATGCTGGGATAGCACAGTGGCGGAACTTGCCGCAGGCAGCTGGATAACTAGAACCCCATACTTTGGATATTGGGAGGAACGTGACGTTGGGAGGGGTCTGGGGGCAAATGGGGGATTTGAGGAAGCAGGAGGAATTACAACAAGTGGAAGAAGAACTGGAGGAGTACTTCAGCACCGGCATCTTGGCACTGGTGACCTCCCAGAAGGACTGCTTTTTGGGCGGGTACGGCCCGATTGAAACCATGTCCCAGGCCTCCTGACAGAACAGGTCTCCACTGCCATACTGCTGGACGGTTGCGAGCGCACCTGGGGTGTGGTTCGTGCTCAGGTCGGGGTTGTACCTGGACGCTTGACCGCACGAGTCACAGACGGTGGAAAACACGACTAACTCGAAGGAGCCCGTATCGAGGATGCCAGAGAGGGTCTGGTTCCCAACCTCCAGGAAGGAGACATACTGAACGTCGTTGTAGTTGGTCATGGCCTGCCGCGACGTGCCGCTCAACCACAAACTCTGCCCTGCTTGACGGCGCTTATGGCTGCCGGTCGTGTGCGCGTCAATTGCGACCGACTCCGTGTCCCGCTCGAGCCGCTCCAACTTCCTCCTCCGGTCGTCCAACTCAGCCTGAACAGCAGCAGGAGTGTCTTCGTCAAACAGCCAATCGTTTTCGGTCGCGGCCGAGCTGCCGTGGCCAGCTGGCATGTGATCCTGCGTCGTCTCGCTGCGAAGCGGCTCGCTTTGAAGAGTAGTGTGCAGCGCCAGTGCTGGCCTAGCCGCTGCGAAGGCAGCCAGGGCAGCCAGCGTTGCCATCTTTAGTGCGGTAACGAATTCGCCCTGCTAAGTGTGTACCACGTATTAGGCATGAACCATAATTCGCTTTGGAATTCTTCTCGTCCTCCTCCGCATATTGGCACGCCCGAAATGGGGACATCAGCAATGGGGACGGCGCCCAAAGACATATATTGTTTGAAATGGACGGCTGCAACGCGCAAGGCGAAAAAAAAGCTTTACAGGTAAAAACGATTTTGTTTGCCTGTGGCGTTTCTTTTTTTGCCTTGCGCGTCGGGTCCCCGGGGCACTGGCCGGGGCGCGCGCGCCGGGCGGGGGGGTGTTCCTCCGCTTCCCTCGGCCTGGCTCACAAAAGGAATCGCGACCAGGGTTTTTGCCTGTGGCGCTCCTGGGGCCCAAAGAAGGAATCGCGACCTGGGTTTTTGCCTGTGGCGTTTTTTTTTTGCCTTGCGCGTCGGGCCTCCGGGTCTTGCCGAGAGCGCGCGCGTGTAGAGGAAGTGCTCCCCTGCTCTCCTCCGCGTCAGTGGCGCTCCTGAAGCCCAAAGAAGGAATCGTGACCTGGGTTTTTGCCTGTGGCGTTCTGGGGCCCAAAGAAGGAATCGTGACCTGGGTTTTTGGCCTGTGGCGTTTTACTTTCGCCTGCGCGCTCGGGCCGGGCGGACGGAGGTGCCATGCGGACGCAGCCACTGGAGCCTTCGGTGGAGCTGCATATGGGGCCACGACCCGTGTGAGGGGTCGACAGTATGATGTATCGTCGAGTTGGCACGCGACTACCTTAACGGGCGGGTCGAATCAGGCGGGCGGGACATTGCTGTATGATGTATCATCGAGATGGCACGCAAGGACCCCAACCGGCGGGTCGGGTCGGGCGGGCGGGACATTAAAGCATGATGCATCTTCGGGTTGGCACGGGTCGGGCGGGCGGACTCTAACGGGCGGGTCGGGTCGGGCGGGCGGGACACTAAAGTCTGATGCGCGTACAGCGTGACACATGAGAACCCTAACGGCCGGGGCGGGACGGGCGGACCCTATCGGGCGGGTCGGGCGGGCGGGCCCTAACGGGCGGGTCGGGTCGGGCGGGTGGGACACTAAAGTCGGATGCGTATACTGCATGACATATAAGAACTCTCACGGGCGGAGCGGGACGGGGCAGACCCTAGCAGGCGGGTCGGGCGGGCGGACCCTAACGGGCGGCTGGGGACAGGCGGGCGGGACACTAAAGTCTGATACATATACGGCATGACGCATGAGAACCCTAACGGCCCGGGCGGGACGGGCGGACCCTATCGGGCGGGTCGGGCGGGCGGACCCTAACAGGCGGGTCGGGTCGGGCGGGCGGGACACTAAAGTCTGATGCGCATACAGCGTGACACATGAGAACCCTAACGGGCGGGACGGGACGGGCGGACCCTATCGGGCGGGTCGGGCGGGCGGACCCTAACGGCGGGTCGGGTCGGGCGGGCGGACACTAAAGTCGGATGCGTATACAGCGTGACACATGAGAACCCTAACGCCGGAACGGGACGGGCGGACCCTATCGGGCGGGTCGGGCGGGCGGACCCTAACGGCGGGTAGGGCGGGCGGGCGGGACACTAAAGGCTGATGCGCATACAGCTAACACATGAGAACCCTAACGGCGGGCGGGGGGCGGGACGGGCGGACCCTATCGGGCGGGTCGGGCGGGCGGACCCTAACTGGCGGGTCGGGTCGGCGGGCGGGACACTAAAGTCTGATGCGAATACAGCACGACACATGAGAACCCTAACGGGCGGGTCGGGACGGGCGGACCCTATCGGGCGGGTCAGGCGGGCGGACCCTAACGGGCGGGTCGGGTCGGGCGGGCGGGACACTAAAGTCTGATGCGCATACAGCGTGACACATGAGAACCCTAACGGCCGGGACGGGACGGGCGGACCCTATCGGGCGGGTCGGGCGGGCGGACCCTAACGGGCGGGTCGGGTCGGGCGGGCGGGACACTAAAGTCGGATGCGTATACAGCGTGACACATGAGAACCCTAACGGCCGGAACGGGACGGGCGGACCCTATCGGGCGGGTCGGGCGGGCGGACCCTAACGGGCGGGTCGGGTCGGGCGGGCGGGACACTAAAGGCTGATGCGCATACAGCAAGACACATGAGAACCCTAAGCGGGGCGGGGCGGGACGGGCGGACCCTATCGGGCGGGTCGGGCGGGCGGACCCTAACGGGCGGGGCGGGTCGGGTCGGGCGGGCTCCTCCTCCTTCTCCTTACCATCCTCCTCCTCCTCCTCCTCCTCCTCCTCCTCCTCCTCCTCTTTCTCCTCCTCCTCTTCCTCCTCTTCCTCCTCCTCCTCCTCCTCCTCCTCCTCCTCTCTTCCCTCTCCTTTTCCTCATCCTCCTCCGCCTCCTCCTCCTCATCCTTCTCCTCCTCCTCCTCGTCATCCTCCTCCTTGTCCTCCTTATCCTCCTTTTCTCTCTCCTTCCTCTTC